ATCCTATCTTTCTCTTATTAAACAAGCGTTTAGGATTTTTTTGCTTATTTTCCTTCAAGAAAATATTATTGGGTTGAAAATAATTAACATGGCATAGTTTTTTTACTTTTGTAAACTACCCCCTAAGGAAAGAAAAGACATCAAACAAGGACAAGAAGTAAATCTATAATCAATCCTCTGTGACATAATGTTCACTTTGTCTGGTTTTGTTACAGTATACCCACATAATTAATGGTTACCCCCCACCATTTATGTCATTTTTATGCGTAACTTTTTCCATTACAAAAAAACCATTCTAAACTCACAAAATAATAATGGTAATTTTAATATTTTAAATGGATGATTTTTTAATTTGTAATATATATTTTTATATTTATTATAGGAACCTAATTTGAACATAACTTTACATCGTTCTATTACTGGACTTAATTGTTATAGATCGCAAAATGAAAATCAAAGGATTACTATAGCTAAATTTAACCTTCCAGATATTTCAGATAATGATTCAAAATCAGTAAATGTTACAAGTAAAACCAACCCAGTTACTACCGAAACAGATAATACATGTGACTTGATGAATAATGATGCATTCAATGATATTTTCAAATATTATGTTACCATTTAAAAAATCAAGCAATTATAATAAATTTAAATATTATTATTAATATTCAGAAATAATTATTGCTATTAAATACTACTCATTTCAAACAATTGTGTTTTTAATATAATTTATAAAAAAATGACATAAACGAGGTTACACGAGATAATAGTTATACAGACAGGTTGATTATATATGAAACCTTATAGTTTGTCAAATTTACAATACTTTCATAGATTCTCATAATAAAAACTTACATCTAGAAAATCGATGAAAAATCACGATCCAAAGTGGTTATTGATCATCAAACATATGTTTAATATTAATATAATGTGCGGATTTTTGGTGATCAACTTTTCATTATTAATTATTAATATGTATTGGTAAGCGAATCCTGGGTGGAATATAGATAAAGATAAAGGAGAAATTTATCAATTAATTTTATTCTTTGATATTAATATTAAGAATTTGATAATAAATCGAATAACTTTAAACCTATTTTTTCATAATAAAATTAAACAAAATTTTTTATATATAGTTTTATTGCTCGAGTCTTCTATAATAATAATAAATCTATAGAAAAAACCTTTTGTCCTATCTCATTTGGTTATAAAGTTTGTCTTTATATATAAAATTTTTTTGATCAAATTCCCTTTATTATTATTAGTTCATTCATTAATCGACATTATGTTACACTTAATTAGGGCACCAAAATGTTTTCGTTCCAATCAATGATAATGGGTTTTAATCATCATCGAAGTTTTCAATAATGATTATTTGAATTCTTTAATAATCAAACAGCATGGTTATTTTATGTTCATTCATATAAAGAATGTTGAGAATTAGACAATTTCGGACAAACCTATCCATGTATACAACTCCAGATTGAATTTGCCAAATAAAATGGTTTCTAAGCTAAAAACTTTCATTACAATGAAATTTGCTTAATAATGATGATTTCAAAATCAGTTTTCTAGATATCACTCAGATAATGCACTTAAATCCACTGCCAAGATGTTATTATTACTACTACTACAATTCCCCTCCTAAATTTCTTCTGTGCAGTAAGTAATCAATAGCAAGTCAGATAATTATTGAACAATTAAATTATATAAAGATTCGGTTACTAAAAGTACTTTGTAATAATAAATGGTTTTTCGTGATCTTTATTTTATCTACTGATTATCTCGTGCCTAATATGTTTTCGTCTAATATGTTGTTCACTTTTAGGAGCGCATTGCTCTCTGTATATGTGCGGCGAATGAAGCAAATAAGGTAAAATACTAGCGGATGATCTTCACTAAAAGTCAAGAAATAAAAGTCATCGAATTTAGATTCTGGTACATAGATTTTCCACCAAAATATGCGTTGAGCAAAAGAAAAAAAAGTAAGTTTGATTAATTGATTATACTTATTTCAATGATTGTTTATTATAAAAAAATGTAGCCTAGAACGTTAACATATGAATTGATCGACAAGGGGTTCGAATTTGGGAAACATTTATGAACATAGAAACTGTATGAACAAAATAACAATATTAATATTGCGAATATTGCGAAATATTGCGAATATTGCAAATTTTTTTGAAATAATATTAAATATTACGAATATCGCAAATATTGTTAATTTGAAATAATAATAATGTGTAGGCTTCTAATTTATAAAGGAAAGGCTTCAATTAAATTAGCACATGTAGGTCATTCTACTAATATATACTTACTTTCCTTTTAAATAAATAATAATAAAAATGTATTTATAGCTAATTACTAGACCAGCACATTCTATAATTAATCAATCTTTTGACTCAAGGTTAAGAATTGAATCGAGGCTCAACGGTAGTAATCTGTACGATGATGATTGTTTATATTATATAATAATCACATATATATTAATTTTTTATTATTATTTTAGGTGATGGATTTGGTGTAGGTAAAATTAAGAAATTTTGGAAAATTCAAAATAATAATAATAACAATAATAATAATAATAATAATAATTATAATTATTATTATTATTACTGTTATTATTACTGTTATTATTATTACTATTATTATTATTATTCACTTTTATCAAACACTTTCTCTAATTTGTACTTTATCTAATTCGTATTACAATTTAAGGTTGGTATGAATCTAATAATCAAGAATCAGAACAGACCGAATCACCTTGTATATTTTCATCTGTCACACCTGCATGGAACAACAAGAATTTATCAAGATTAGCTGAAAAAATAAAGAGTCATTTAGTATTTGCACATGTCAGAGCTTCTAATTCTGGTGCTTTATCAGAAACTAATTGTATGCAATTTTATTATTAGTTTCTTGTGCTCGATTGTTATAGATATCTAATTATTAATTATTATTATGATTATAACTTAAAAGGTCATCCATGGCAGTATGAAAGTTTGATGTGGATGCACAATGGTCACATTCAAGATTTCTACAAGGTAATTTATTGGTTGGTCGGTTGGTTGGTTAACTGATTGATTAGTCACACAGTGTAGTATAATTAATCGACTCTAAACAAGTTAATTGGCTTATCTCGATTAAACTCACAATCAGACGTTATTTTTTATTAATAGATTAAAAGAAAATTAGTTCAATCTTTAAAAGAAGATATTTTTTTATTTGTCCAAGGAAACACTGACTCGGAATGGGCCTTTGCATTATTTCTAAATCAGGTTAGTTTTTGGAATTTAGAGGATGAGTAAAGGAGAATAAATAGTAGGGTAGGAGATGATTGACAAACAAATTCTCTAATTATTAAAATCCCTACTTATTAATTTATCACTATAATAATAATAATAATAATAATAATAACAACAACAACAACAAACCAACAACGATGATGATAGTTATCAGATCCAAAGAATGGACCGTTTAGCCATGAAATTTTGAGAAGTGCAATGTTAAAAACGATTCAACAATTAAATATTTGGGCTGAAGAAGAAGGAATCAATGTATGGATAATTAATTGTATTCGATATCTAGTTTATTTATTAGATAATTTAATAATTCAAATCTCTTAATAATCATCCGACTAAATATTAGGAACCATCCTTGTTGAATTTTGCTGTGACAGATGGATGTTCTGTTGTTTGCACTCGCTACATCAATTGTCAGACGAGAGAAGCTGCCTCGTTGTATTTCTCATCTGGTAAACTTTATCTGTATCTCATTACAACAACTACATAATTAATGATATGATAATAACATCGTTTGTTATAAATATTGTAGGGACAAGTTTTATGGAATATAAGCCTGGACATTATAAAATGGTATAGTTGTACACTTATATATTCTATTGAGATTTTACTAATTAACTAATCAATCATGAATTTTAGTTTAAAGCTGATAAAAGAGAAGACATTGTACTGATAGCATCAGGTAAATTAATAATATGCTATCATGTAAATAAATAAATAAATAAATAATAATTTTATTTTAAAAATCACAACTTTTTATATTCTAGAACCTTTGACATTTGAAAAGACGGATTGGTTGACTATACCATCAAATACTTGTATAGTTGTCACTCCTAAATTAAATGTTTTACTATATCCTATCAAAGATCAATTCTATACTCCCGACAAATCAAAAAGAAAATCAATCAATCTTCTTAAATAAAGTTATAAAAGGGTTGTTAAAACAGCCCCCCCCCCTTTATTTATATATATATATAACCACTAAATTCATTTTACACTCTTTACAATAAATATAATACACAGGTAAACTCGATAAATCACTTTAATCAATTGTTTAGAATATAATAAATGTTTGCTTTATCGAGTTTACCCATTACTATGTAACAATAAACGTTAATTTTAAATTAAAACATAAATATTCATCTAGAATTATATATTTTCATTGTTCTCCATTAATACTCTTTATCACGAATTATATGACATCGATATTCTAGCTTCATCCAGAAAATATTAAACTTTTAGATGGCAGCGAGCTTTATGAAACTCAAAGAGTCTTGATTCCAGCGAAGAAGAAAAAACCATGTTTAGTTGCTGATCAAAGATTTGGGAGTTGGGCAACAATGGAAAACAGCAAGACTTTGTCATAATAAAAGTAGAAGGTGAAAAAATGATTAAGGTACACCTGTGAGCACTTTGGTAATTACAAGAATTACATAATAGATTAATTGTAAATAATTGTTATTAATGAAATTCATATTTCAAGAATTATGTCAAAATTTTCTTATCGTTCAAATTATTTTAGACTGTGGAAATAATAGTGCTAGAATGACAAACAACCAATAATAATAACAATGAATACAATTCTGTTCTGTCAAGAATCAGGAATTCGTTGTAAAAATCACAAATATTTCCTGATTTGGTAGCAAAGTAGCAAGATTAAATCATTCCCTGAAAACTTCATATTAGCAGCGCATGACCATGATAGTTATAAACAATTTGGCAATGTGGTCAACATCGAATGTCAAAGTATGTACGTTATCAAGGAATTATCAAAACAAATATGACACAAAAGAATCTCCAACCAGCAATTATACCAACAATCAAAACAGGGATAAAGGCGCTTTTAAAACCCAATTGATTGCTTATTTGGATATCAAGATATCAGTGAAAAAAGGAACTTATTTCGTATCTATTAAAACGAATATTTTCATTCCGATGCCGGAAGAAAATAGAACTAGTTAAAAAGTCACTATTCAACATTATGAAAGAATGCTGGTGATTATCCTTCCTTTAAAGGAAGAAATAGAAGATTTGATACTAGGTAAATAAATAGAATATAATCAGTTGAAATAGTCGAACTAATCTATGGGGCACATTTAAAATTCGTTATAACACGAACTCAATTGTAATTCGTTGAAACGAGGTTTGACTTTATTAGAAGTTATCTTTCAACAATTCTTACTACGCAGCATATAAATATGATTAGGGCAATCGGAAAAGAAATCACTGTCGTTTATTTCAAGAGGGAATAAATTGTGGAATAATTACAAATTAGTATTTTGAAAGTGTTGGTTGCTACATATCCTCCGATTACTTTACACATCCATGTGGATTAATTGGTAATTATCATAACTGATAATATCCAATCGCCAAACTCTAATAAATAAAACATTTCAATTGGTGAATACCTTTAATTATAAGATAATAATTAGAATTAAAATCTTGCATTTTTATAAAAATACAGTAATATTTTTCTACTCTCTATGTAGTATTTTATAATAAAAAAGTCATTGTATTCAATTTTTCATTTTGAAATTTCGTTCTTCTCTTAGGTTTCTTGATGCTATTAAAACAGTTTAAAATTTATTAACCAACACACCAATAAAGTACAGTGATAACCATGTAATATATTTTACATTCAGTCGCCAATCAAAGTCATAACTTTATACAGAGAATTCTCTTAATATAAGGAAATATTCGTTTAAAAGCTTTAATGATGTTAATATAGTTTATTTTGTTTATTTTATTTTAAATACAGCACTTTTTCCCTGTCAATATTGATAAGATTTTTATAATGAACCACAAACTTTTAATCCATTTTTATCTTAACGTTAATTATGTGCTTTTTTTTTTTTGAAAAACAATTAATTAGTCCAAGACAAGAAAGGCTAGGCAGGCATTTGTTAATGAATCATTATTTGAAGAAGATAAGTTTGTTAATAGCCAAGTATCTTATATATAAACATGGAACAAAATTTATAGTCTTTTACAATATAGTGATTATTATTATTTTTTTTGCTGAGCGAGGAGGTTGACCAAACATTTTATGATGATCATGCCATTCTTGGAATGGGTTAATGATTGATTCAGTCATGGATGGTGGTGTGACCCACTACCCAAAACTGTGACCTGCCACCTTGAATGGATATGGCGGTCCAGACCTACTGATCCATGGCATCGCCATAGCTCAATTCCACTCTTTTATTAAATAAAATTAGGTTTTCAGTACATATGTTTACATAATAATTTGTTAAAAATTTCACTTCTATTTCTATTGCTACTATTACTATTGTTCCTACTTCTAGTACTAGTATTATTATTATTAGTGTTGTTGTTGTTATCCTCATTATTGTTTCTATTAATAGATCTATTATTACTACTATTTCTACTGTTATTCTTATTATTTAAACCTTTCCATTTTCTGCTCCATTGTAATTCCTGTTTCCTTTTCCCATTCTATGATACTATCACATCTCACTTTCCATATCTTTTCTTTGGATTTTCCACATTATGAAAATTTTTTTGTCTTTTTAAAAACTAGATTTTATTTTATTCTTTCACATGATTTTTAAGTTTCATTACGCATTTAGAAGTTTTTATATGATGATCGCCCCAAAATTTGTTTAAATGCGACTCGATTTGATTCGTTCGGAGCCTTAGTAATTGGTTCCCATAAAATCTATTAAAAGTACCCGTTTATTTTTTCTTTTGAATAATACCCTTTTTCATTTTCTCTATTATCAGAATTGGCTAAAGTATTATTATTATAAATTTTGTATATATACAAGTTTACCTCTTTCTGGTGATAATAAGTTCTTGAATGACATTTTAACTTGATAATTTTATTTTTTCTCTGTAGAAAAATATAAAGAATGTAGTAATCATCCCCTTTCCATTTATATTAATTATTATAAGATAAGGTTTGAAAACAATAATAGTACTAACTTTTAAAGGTTTAAAAAAAATATATTAAAATATACTTGATCTTCCTGCGATAAACAAAAAAAATCATGTGGGAATTTCCCTCTATTTAAAAATTTTTTTTTAAAAAAAAAAAATGAAAAAAAATGAAGCAGTCAGGAAAGCCTGGCTGGCAATCTTCAATAATACTTAACACATTAACAATTAATACATTTAATATTTTTTAAAAAATAAAATAAAAAATATTACGACACTACTACAACAATAAATATTGCATATATATGATATATATTAATTATATAAAAACAAGCTACAATCGCACACACACATATATTTATGTATATTAATAATATAAGCAACAAACATTCAACATTTATTTGATTTTTCAATTCATGGAAGCAACTGTTTAATAATAATATAAATAAAAGCTAGCTCTAAATCATTACTACTACAATAGATAATAATAATAATTAATAAAGAAGAGATTATTAATTGGGAGAAAACTACTCTAGCACGGGGTCAAAGAAATCCAATGTACTAAATGAAGTTATAGGTACAAGATCGATAACAAGAGCAGCAGTTGTAGTCCCTGGCACTTTTCAAAGCACAGCTAGCACTAACACACCTCCTGCCGATTCAACTACTAGAAACACGCCTCTTCCTACCTCAATCACTAGCAACGATATAATTTCCTCTGAATCAAGCAATCTAAACAACAATCAAGTTACATATAATTTGCTGAGACAGTTGGTAGTACCTTTAACTACTTCACAACGGGGGCATTATTGAATTAAAAACGGCAGAGACAATAGTGTCAGAAAGACAGCCAATAAATAGTAATAACAGCATAGTTGATCTTGGTAGTAGTTCTAGGAAAGAGACAACCTAATATCAAGCACTGCTCCAAGATTGACAACACCAATCCTGAGAACAACAATAACACAAACAATGCTAATGACATCACCAACAAAACTATCAATAATATCGCCAATAGCACCAACTGTAATGTCACAACTACAGAAATCGAATCCATTCGGAGAGTTGTCAGCACTAGCGGCGAGGATCAAATTGAAAGCTACAATAAGTGGCGCTCATAGGCTACTACCACAACAAAAAACATTGCTCAATCAAAGCTCGTCAAGCTTGACAAGTACATGTTTGGGAACAGAGGGATACTCAAACATGCGCTATGATCTCGGTCGAAGGCGCAATTCAGCTTGAACAACAAAGGAAGACCATGATGGCAAAATCAATATTATTATTAATAAATATTGCAACAAAAGCAGCAAAAATCCTCATACCATTAATTCCACCAATTCAATAGCAAAAATTAACAACTACAATGAGAATTTCTCAAGTAAGAGCATTGGAATAGGAAGGGGAAGTGATAACAATGATGATAATAATAAACGATAACGATATTGATAACAATATTGATAATAACAAGAAAAATAATGATAATGAAAACAACACCACTCTAACAACAACAACAACCACAACACATCAAAATAAAATTCCCCTCTTATATAACTGATATAGATGCTGCTAAGAACTGTTAGAACCATCAATACTATTTTACCATTAGCACAAAAATTGTGATTCTCGACTGACTAGACAAGAAAGATATTTAAAGTAAACATACCCATCAACATTTGAGAAATTGAAACTCTGACCAAGCAGCACCCCAAGTTGATACATTATACAAGGTCCGAAGGAAGGCCTCGGGCATAGCTTCAGAAATCTGAGAGGAAACAAAATAGAACCTCCCATCCATAAAGTTGAACCCTGAAGCATCTGCCCAGAAGGAATTAGAATTAGAGAGTGTAGCAGGGCTGTATGACCCTGCCAACATACCATTAGAATCATTCAGAATGAACCCATGCGGTTTGGTCCCTAAAAAGGGATAATGTCAGAAAGGTCAGAGTTATCCATCATCACTTGGCCCAATTTTCTTCAGCATTAATGATGATATTGAGAAAGAGATTTTCCACACATCCTATGAGAACGTTGGACATGTCGAAAAGTGGACCCGCACATTTGGAAAGGGGTACTTGCTATACAAATTGGATACTAAAGATCAATACAGTATTCTACCAGTTGATCCTTTGAGTAAACATTACAAGGGTTTGCCTGTATTGACAAGAAGCTTGCTTTCAGTAATAGAGATTCAGCCGGGACCTTTTGTAGGTTTGCTGGTTTACTAGATTGGATTGCAAATTATTTGGGCGTTCCTGCTGTCGTTCGCCATGTCGACGATTTTCTCCTCATTCTCCTACTACACCAACAGCAGTAGCCTGCAAATTCTTGGAAGTTTTTAAGGCAATGTTGGTTTTTCTTGGAATCTCCTTTAAGATTCGAATTGATCGGTTCCGTTGATGAATTAATTTTTCTTGGCATTTCGTTGAGTACTAGAGAGCTGTCAGTCTCAATACCTACGCAAAAGAGACCGAGACACTGATGATTATAAACAAACTGAAGAATTGCAAATACTGCACTGTGATGCAGAGCTACGTTCTATCTTGGTTGGTTTTCCAGGTTCATTCAGCAGAAAGACACTTTGTACAGGCCATCCATAAATTAAAATTAACTGGCGGAAAGAGAAAGAGCAAATGCAACAGAAATCATCGCCACACCGGCAATAAAGGAGGAGTTGGCCTGATTAGAAGTTACTCTAAACGGACGGAATGAGGGCGTATCTGCGCCTTTATTAAATTTCCCTTCACTAGCAGTTAATACAAATTCAATTCTCACATTAAACTCGAACATTTTGTGATAAAGTTATAACATCTCAACAAAATTTTTCTCAACGAAAAATAAAGAATCACAAGTAAATGTGAGAATAATAATAATAATAATAATAATAATAATAATAATAATAATAATAATAATAATAATAATAATAATAATAATAATAA